CCTTTATTAAGCAGCAAAACCTATTTCTGATTGAATATAATTGATTTATACGTCAATTGATAGTACATATTGACGATCCTACATTAAAAAAAAATCGGCACGTAAACACTAAGACTACTTTATAATAATACTAACTTTTGGACTACGCATCGACCATTCATCTTTTGATTCTTAAACCTTCAACCACCCCCGGCCACACAAACACAGTCGATACGTCATGTAGAAGTTATGGCCTTGCGTTCATAAAACTTTCGAGCAAGATTATCGTACTTAGACTCAGAAATCAACATATCAAAACATCGGATTTGGTGTTTCAAGCACACATTCCGTACTCCGAGTACTAAGTTAAGTTTTATGACCGAGAGCCCTGTTCTGTTCATACTATCTAACAAAATTCAAGAAATTCATACTTCCTTATCGCCTGTACTGAAAAATCTCTACCGTGTTATGATATTTATCATATTTATTTAGTTGGCCTAATTTGTTTTGTGTGGCCTATTATATGACATTGTGTACAAAATGATACACGTTGTATTACAACTATGCAGTTTAGAAATCACTGGAACAATCATAGATACTCATGGAATGATTAGAACTTTCTATTTTACTTACATAACGTTTCCAGAATGATTATAACAAAAGATGCGTAATATAAACATCTACAGTTTTCTAGTAGTTTTCGTTACAAGTATATATATGCAGACACTAAAGTTAGATATAGACTTAGACATCGATAGACATCAACATTCTCAGCAGTTGGATTGACACTTTTATTTACTAACAACATCATACTAGATTGTTACCTATTGGATGTAATATTCTTGTGGATTCCGAGAAGATTTCCGGATAAAGAAAAGATAAAAGATTGGACACATATTTTGACAGTTAAGTTGACATTTCTATTTGTGTTATACTTCTTGTAAACTAGTGTATAATAGATATTGTTAAATTATATTATCGATTCGTGTCTTTTGTTGGCTACAATTAACACGCGATTTTTCTGGTCGTAACAGAAATTGGGGGCTCGTGTCGGGATACCGTTAATATCTTATTGAAAAATTTTTCAGTATTTTTTTTATTAGAACTAGCCAACAGAATTCTACAAAATGGCATTTGATGACGGTAAATTTTTGAAAACGACAGACCTGGAGAGGTTTGATAATTTAAAGAAAGAATTAGTGTTGCTTGCTAAACATCTGAAATTAGACTTTAGAATATCTATGGAAAAATGTGGTTAAAAATTATTTAGTCGACTCAGAAATTTTTGGTGAAGAGGCTCTTTGAACTCAAGGTCGGAAATGTTGATGCTTTCAAATTAAAACAGCTTGAATTAGAACATGAACTTAAATTAAAACAATTGGAAAATGAAGAAAGGCAGGCAGAACTTGAAATTAAGGAAAGGTTAGAGATGGAGAAGATGAAAGAAAAAGAAGAATTTAAATTAAAACAAGATGAATTTAAATTAAAACAGGCAGAACTTGAAACGAGGGAAAGATTAGAGATTGACAAAATGAAAATTGAAATGGCCAACAAAGTAGAAAGCAACACTAATGTAGAATCAAAATCAGAACATTTTTATTTTGATGCAGCAAAAAATATCGTTTGGTTCCCAAATTTTGTGAAAAAAAACAGTTGATAATTTTTTTCCACAGTTTGAGAAAATTGCTTAAAAATTGAAATGGCTGAAGCCTTTTTGGACTACAATGCTGCAAAGTTTTTTGAGGGCAAGGCCGCTGAAATTTACTCAGCACTTTCATCAGAAAATAGTTCTGATTATGACACGGTTAAAAAGGAGGGTTTGAAAGCTTATGAGCTAGTGCCAGAGGCATGTAGACAGAAATTTAGGTCTAATAAAGATGTGTCTTTGTCCAAACTAACTAAGGACATTTTTACCACGTGTTAGTTTGTGGTTTGTCATTACGTCGTCTGATCTTTTAATTACCGAACGTGACTTATTCCCGATTGTGACTGTTTTGCTGAGTGTGAAACCGCATTGCTATAAGACGTGTCACGGTACTTTTCTATCCCAAATTCATGTATTTAATTTTGATGTTATATTTGTTATTCTCATCGGATTTTGTCAAATGTCTTAACGTCTCTTCTGTTATATTCGTGTGTTATGGTAAAGATAATTAATCACCCCATTCATTTATTAGATTCTAGTTTGGTTCAACGAAATTTATACGATATATTTGGTTTACAGTTTGATTCAGAAGAAACACCGACATAGCTAGATAGTACAATTAATTATCTAATCACTACCACAATTTGATATTAATAAGTATTGTAATTTTCATTGTTATTAATAAATGTAATGTCAGTATTACAAATCTAATCTTGAATCGATCCTATATCCTATCTTATTTTTGGGAAATATTTTACAAATTCAAATGTGACGTCACTTTGTGTGTTTTTTTAGAATTTCAAATGTGACGTCACTTTGTGCGTTGAGGCTTTGGCTAACTCGGCTGTGTATTTTTATGTGTTGGATTAAGTTGTTTTATGTAATGTATCCGTTTTTATTCTGTAGTTAGTCCCCACTTCGGTTTTATCATGTATTTCTATTATATAGTCATTTTATAAAATTTACTGATTGCAAAATTATAAATTATTCTAAATAATAAGGATGTTCTTGTCCCAGGCAGAAAAACCCTGGCCGTGTTAGACGCAACTTTTTGGAAGTTTTGTTCCTCGGTGCTCTTCAGCTTTGTACTTGTTTTGGCTTTCAAACTTTTTTCATCTGAGCGTCACTGGTTGGTCTTGTGTGGACGAGACGCACGTCTGGTGTATTGAATTTTAAGCCTAGTACCTTTTGTTAGCTATTATTCGTGTGTTTCTTTGTCCTATATGTTCTCCCATTTATTTGTATTGTGGTCCTGTCATGTGATGTTGTCGTTTTGGTGTTGTGTTTGACGTTGCCATAAAAGCGGGAGGTTTGGCATGCCACAAAACCAGGTTCAACCCACCATTTTTTTCTTAAAATGTCCTGTACCAAGTCAGGAAAATGGCCATTGTTATATTATAGTTCGTTTCTGTGTGTGTTACATTTTAATGTTGTGTTTTTGTTGTGTCGTTGTTCTCTTATATTTGATGCGGTTCCCTCAGTTTTAGTTTGTAACCCGGATTTGTTTTTATCTCTATCGATTTATGAGTTTCGAACAGCGGTATACTACTGTTGCCTTTATTGATTCATTAACCTATGTTGAATTTGCTAGGGAAAAAGAAGATCTATTTCATAAATGACTTACGTCAAAGAAAATAGATAAACATTTTGATAAGTTAAGACAATTGATGTTATTAGAAGAGTAGCAGTATGTTAATTTAGACTTAAAAACACATTTAGATGACAAAACTGTTGAGGCATTATAAGATGCAGCTGTTATTTCTGATAATTATACCCTTTCATATAAAAGAAGTTTCAAAGGTGAAAATTTTAATACTTCGAGTGAAAATTACAAGAATCAAAGCACTGAGCGTACTGAGAGTAAGCCTGTTGCACAGAATGAGTCAGTTTAGTCCAAAATTTGATACTTTTGAGAAGAAGTCACTGACTTGTGCTTATTGTAAGAAGAATGATCACCTGATGGCTAATTGTTTTAGACTCCAGAAGAAGAATGTAAGAGATAATAAGCCCAAGACACTAAATGTATTAACTAATTGTATGCAGACACTAAAGTTAGATATAGACTAAGACATCGATAGACATCAACATTCTCAGCAGGTGGATTCATACTTCCTTATAGCCTGTACTGAAAAATCTCTACCGTGTTATGATATTGTAACTATCATATTTATTTAGTTGGCCTAATTTGTTTTGTGTGGCCTATTATATGACATTGTGTACAAAATGATACACGTTGTATTACAACTATGCAGTTTGGAAATCAGTGGAACAATCATAGATACTCATGGAATGATTAGAACTTTCTATTTTACTTACATAACGTTTCCAGAATGATCATAACAAAAGATGCGTAATATAAACATCTACAGTTTTCTAGTAGTTTTCGTTACAAGTATATATATATGCAGACACTAAAGTTAGATATAGACTTAGACATCGATAGACATCAACATTCTCAGCAGTTGGATTGACACTTTTATTTACTAACAACATCATACTAGATTGTGACCTATTAGATGAAATAATCTTGTGGATTCCGAGAAGATTTTCGGATGAAGAAAAGATAAAAGATTGGACACATATTTTGACAGTTAAGTTGACATTTCTATTTGTGTTATACTTCTTGTAAACTAGTGTATAATAAATATTGTTAAATTTTATTATTGATTTGTGTCTTTTGTTGGCTACAATTAACAAGCGATTTTTCTGGTCGTAACAACCTGCTTAGGAATTTGAATAATTTAGGTCATTACATGTAGATCTATGAGTTCTCGAAGTTACTGAAAACTAGTTGATTGATTGATTGCTAAACGTCCAGTGGCAAAAAGTTCATGTCTGTTCAGGAATTAAACAACACTACGCATCAGATAGAACTTGGGCCAACAACTAAATAAAAAAAATCATTTATCTAAGTTGAGGTTCATTCAAGTATTTGTTGATAGAAGTGAAGTGATCTGAACCAAAGTTCTAGTTTTTAGTTTCTATATAAGGTGGAATATAACGACACAGTTCCAATACTCCACTGATTCACTAAGGATAATATACTAGTGTACAAATGACATAGATTTGAACAATTCACATTCATCTACAGATAACATTGTGTATTATTTTTTTTAATAAAAAAAATATTTGTGAAAAAATTATGTGTAGGCACGTGCCTAAAGTGCCTAACGGCAGCTATGCCCCTGAATATAACATGCATATTCAGGATGAGAAAAAATAAATACTGTATAGAAAATTTACATGTAAGTCTACCGGGATGAAGAAGGATATGAATTAGCAAACGAAGTGAAAAAAAAGTATCGGTCAATGATTCAGGAACCCAACGACACAATACAATTTCTAATTTGTTCCGATATCATTAAAAAACTACAAATCCATAAAGAATATTTATTTCGAAACAAAAATATATTGAGGACATACATATGACTTAAATTAAAAAAAAAAAACCATTTCCAAAAAAAATGATCACATACAAGCAGAATATTTTCTTTTTTGTCAAAATGAATTCCACCCGGCCTTTTAAGTCCATCTGATTGAGTAAAATTTCTCTATAAAGTTTACCATCATCATATATTACTACTACAGTGTGTGTTCTCCCATCAGTCACATATACATTCCTCTCATTATCAGTTGTCACACGACCTAAATCTTGATATTTATCATTTTCAAACTAAGTTAAGTTTTATGACCAAGAGCCATGTTCTGTTCATACTATCTAACAAAATTCAGAAATTCATACTTCCTTATAGCCTGTACTGTAAAATCACTACCTGCTTAGGAATTTGAATAATTATGGTCATTACACGAAGATCTGTGTCCAACTATCAAAGAGCAAGTGGACATGAACCAAAGATCATTACGTCTTTGAATTTTTTTTCGAAATTTCCATATAAAGTTGATTTCTGGTCACAAATGAAATTAAAGCGTTGGTCACACAAAACATGTACATAACACAATTATTAATTGTCTCTGAAAACGGAATACAACTGTACAGATCATGACAATCAATCAAGTTAGATTGATAGTAAAGAAAACGAAAATAAATGGAAGTTATTTTGAATGACTAAATGCACAAACAGATTCGAGTCCGAATAAACTCATTGTCTGAAAGAACTATTCATGATTGTTTATGTTGGTTTCTTTTTTAAATTCAAAAAGAAAACCATTTCCAAACAAATGATTACATACAAGCAGAATATTTTCTTTTTTGTCAAAATGAATTCCACCCGGCCTTTTCAGTCCATCTGATTGAGTTAAAATTTCTCTATAAATTTTACCATCATCATATATTACTACTACAGTGTGTGTTCTCCCATCAGTCACATATACATTCCTCTCGTTATCAGTTGTCACACGACCTAAATCTTGATATCTATCATTTTTAAACTTCCAAATTAATTTTTCATCTAGCGAGCAGCAGTATATTGATGTAACGTTTATACAGACCAACCTGTCTCTGTTAACTGAAATGTCGCGAATTTTGTCTGAAGGTAAAGGAATAGTTCGTATTTCTTTACCTGTCAGGTCCATCACATGTATAATACTCATATCAATAACAACGTAAAGGTTATTATCATCAAATGATATTCCGTAGCAGTTATGACTGGTATTGAATGTACTGGTGACAGATCTTGTATGCATATTTATTATCAGTGTGGTATTGTTAAATGTACATGACACTGCCACAGTATTACTATCTACTTCTGTTATATACCGTGGTGTATAGGACAGAGGAATGTGATGGACATCAGTACCGTCTGCATTACAAATAATAAGTTGGTCATTATTATAGTCGGTAAACACCAATGATTTGCCTATTTTGATGCAGCTAGTAATGACCTGATATTCATTCCTTCCCTTTTGGATATTAAACTGTTGACGCGAATTGACAGAAACAGGAAGGTTGTATTTGACAGGTGTTTGAGCTTGGGTGAACGCCGCAGTTGTGGTTGGTATTTTTTCTGAAATACAAAATTATGCATCAAATTAGTATGATCAGACCACATCGGTTTTTCACGCACGCAAATTTGTTTTAAGTACGATTGCCGCACGAAAATTTATTTTCACTTTTTTTTAAATTTGTTCCTGCATTTTGTATGATTCAGTTCATCTGTCTTGTCAAAAGTTAATTATTTTCAGCTCTTGCTAGCAATATCCTCCTGCACCACCCCAAGAAAATGAAACGCTCGTCCCATAATCGAAGGAAAACTGAAATAAAGGTTATAAATAAAAGAGATTGAAAAAAAAAGAAAAACGAGTTGACATACCAAAGGGAAACGTTATTTGGTTGACGCTATCTTTTCATCTATTGTTGGGTAATTGAAGGAGATATATTAATTCATTGTGTCTTTTCAATTCTTATCTTCTCGGTTACCATAGAACCAACTGATAAAAACCACAAGCCACTGAGAAAACTTGTCATAATGAATATAAACAGAAACACACCAGACACCGATAAATCGGTTAGAAGAGCAATGTTTTGCAATGGGAAATTATAATCAGTTGTATCACTGATATCGTATAAATATTAAAGGGTGACCGGTGGTATAGAGATATGGTCATCTGGACGTCTTCCGACTAGCAGTAACAACTAAAGTTAGGCGTCTGTTTGGTTGAGGGTGATGCATAAATCCGATGTCTCGTGTCAAAGAGTGTCAAGTTCTCTTTGCGTGAATAACTTAAAATTAAGAATGAAAATGGGGAATGTGTCAAAGAGACAACAATCCGACCAGTTAACATGTTACAAGTCTGTGTCGTTAATCCAACTTACCATTAGGTGATAGAGGTTGGGTAAATGCTTCTTTGTTTGCTGACATATTTTCTGAAATATATTTAAAACAAAAAGAAATAATTGATACATTCAAACGCAGTTAACCGACGTACCATGCTTTTGAGGGGCGTCTGTTTAATAATCCACTGCATTTGTTACCTATTAAAAGTGTACTTATTTTTTTCCGTTTTGAAAATAAATGAACCTTTTGCCACTGGTCGTAAAGTAGTCAACATTCAATTAATTGATCACGTATGAACCGATTATCATTAGTTAAATCCTTTTCTGCTGTTTTTAGTTTCAACACCCCTATTTTTAGTTTCAAGTAAAACTTAGATTTTGTTTTTTGAAAAAGAGGGAACATTCAATTTTATAATTGTAGGGGAGATTTTATATTATGATTATGGGCATCAGAACATGAGGTCTCGGTTTCGTAAAGAACTGCTAAGGAGCACGATTTGCGGAGAGGCTCCCCTACCCAGGATAAAGAAATCGGTACAAGAAATTTTTTTCTGAAGGGCGAGGTTTTGTCCCAAAGTTGCTCCACATGATGTGTAAATACGCATCCACATTAGAATAGAATATGGGTGTTGAATAGGAAGGATCTATAGTAGGAAAATATCACTCTTCCTGCAAGCTAACCCTTACAACGCTTTTGGGAATCCGTAATTTACCTATTGCAAAGCTTAACTTTTGACCATATGTAACATGCCATCAATTTCCAAAGCTCTTCATACATTCTAGTAGACTCATCTTAATCTCACCGTAACCTGTTTTTAATTTGTGACCCTTCATAATATGGCACGAATTCTTAAGCAAAACATTAAACCAATCAATTTTCGTCGACTTATTTTTATGTTTTTATGGGACTAGTAGATACAATTTTGTTTGTTTTACAATTCTGAAATCAGAAAAAGTCAATAAAAATAATATATTCATAATTAAAGAACTTCTAATAAAAGAGTTGGTATAATTTCCTTACCATATTAAATGTTTTAAAATGCAATGATTACTTATCTTTGTCTCCTTAGATATATCGCCATATATATATATATATATATATTTATATATAAAGATACATTCTTTGAATGAGAAGTAAGTTATTTACGAAATGTTACTGCTGTTTAAAGTTGAAGAAACCAATGATTTTATTTGTTCTGGTATCACAACGATCTAACAGTCAACTGTTTAAACCTATATTCAAAATGATTACTTGGTGGCGGCAGTTGGAGATGATTCAGGGATAGACGACAGATACTAAAATGACGTTCAAACTCATATATCGAAAATTAACTGATAACGTCATGGCTAAATAAAGAAACAGACAAATAACAGTACACAAACCACAACATAGAAAACTAAAGACTGAGCAACACACACCCCAGTAAAAATCCCAGGTGCTCCGGAATAGTAAGCAGATCTTGCTTCATATGTGGCACCCGTCGTGTAGCTCGTGTGAGTGCAGACATGTTTATAAGTCTAATATGGTAGGTCACTTTCGAGGAAAGAAGGACGGGATTGTAGTTACGACAATTAAAACATATCCGCTATCGTTTGTGAATCAGATATTCCATAACGGTCATAACTAAAGACTGAGCAGCACAAACCCCAGCAAAAATTGGGGATGATGCTTGTGCCCAGGAAGAATAAGCAGATATGCTCCTAAACGACAACTTACAATGAATCAAATAGCAATAAGAACGCCCATTTCTAAATCATAACTCTCTTTAACCGAAGTCTAAACCTATTTACCGGAACTTGAACACACCTCCAATATCGCACTTCGTCATAGTATTTAACAGATACTGTAGTCCACGAACTTGTTGGAAGCTTTCACTTGTTGAACGTTTTGTTTTACAATATAATGACGTTCATAACATCGTGGATATGGAAACCTGATATTTTGTTGCCTTTTAAATATTAAACTTTTTCATATGTATCAATGGCTGTCGATTACAATGATTTCACTCAATGATACCGTTGCAACCAAAAAACTACTTTTTAATCAAATGAAAATTGCACCAAAAATTATAAAATGTCTAACACATGTATGCATACACAAAACCGCTGTTTTATACTGACCGACTTTAGAAACGCAACACCAGATTAATCTTTTTTAATTTCAAATATGCAATGTATGTTAAACATATGTATGAACATAAATTTCATTCATTACTTCATTGTTTAATAGTATTTTACTGTTCGAAAGTTGAATTGATAGATATTTTTTTTATTTTCAAATCATGTGGTATACACTGAACCCCTGGGTTTCTCCTTACCAATGGATGTGTCACCGTTGCAGGCAATGACTGCCTGTAACCAAAGCAAAAATGATTGTCAAAAAAGGTAAAGCAATTCTGTTAGTCATGTTTTGAGTTCCGTTTTGTACCTTCTGATTTTGCATTTGTCCCACCCATTACAGTGTGTTTTGGCAATAATGCAGTTTAAACTTTAGGCTTTTATGTTTTTTCTGCAGACGATTCTTCGGCATTTCAGTTTATGAGAAACATTTTTGGCATGAATCTGTCTGCCATGGCATTTGGCGATATGAAAAGCAGTTGACGTTGCAGCCGTAAACATGTCTTGCAAATGACGTCGCGTAATCAAATTCTATTGACGTGACGTTGTCACTACATATTGATCTGGTCATTGATGGTCATCAACAAATCCCGTCTACCTGTATCGTTGATTGAAGAACAGTAAGACGAGTTTTTGACGTCAAATTGTCTGGTTACAGCACGTTCACGTTTTCCAGCATGCAATACTCTTATGGGCTGATTTAGATTTTCATTGCTCAGTCTCGGCAATATGGAGATGCAACATGTTTTTCCTGGTTAAAGTGTGGGTATGGATTGACAGAACTGTCTAACGCAGAAAAAAAAAAACCTTAAAAAAATCATTTATGGGTTTCAAATTTCGCTTTTAGAAATTCGTGCGACTTCAAAACTCCGGTATGTTCAATTACCTCGGGTAATTCAGATATTGAATTTTTCTTAACAGAAAGAAGTATGGTAAGCATGAATAGTAGTTATTTGAGGATCTATAAAACATTAACAGTATCTATAGTATGTGATATAGTTTCTCTTCAGTTTCGGAATTTTTTCGCCTACGTTTTTTCTAAGCCTAATTTTACATTATACGTGTGCCCGAAGAGTCTTCTGAGGTCGAAGTTAACTGTTGTGGCTTGTTGTATTTGCTTGCGGGAACAATACAGGATCAATATGAAAACACCAGTTTAATACCACTCGATTTCTTTTTTATAAATATTTACAAGTAAATGCATTTTTACAAATAATAAAATGTATAGAGATAAATTAGTTACCAAGACAAATAGGAAGGAGTGTTGCAGTAATATCATTGTTTGTTCCGCTTCCGTTTGAAAGTTTCAAGATGGCGTCCGACATTTGTCCTAATTGATCTACCATTTTATGGTCGGTTTCAAATAACTCGGCCTCGATATCAAATTCTAAGTAAACTGGTTGTCCAATGGTTTTTGATGCAATCCATTGTGTGAACTCTGTAAGATAAATATAAAAAAAAGAATAAACGAGTTTATATTGAATTGAATCCGTTAATTTGACGTAATTTGACGTCAATCTCTTTATTATTGGCGTATTTTTGCTAGAATCAACGATTCAAATTAATTACCACATTTTATTCAATTGCTCACTTTGTTTGCTGTATTTCTTTCAATTTGAAAAGACTAATTTACTGATTTCTGTTCAAATATGTAATGGTTTAAAAAATACCTTTGCATTTTTTGTCTCTTGTTTTCTTGATGTCTGTAGTGTGAAACATCAAATATATAACGAAACCTCTCTGCTACCAACGTTTAAGGATTGAATGTTTTTTTTACTATATAACTTTAATAGAAAGATAGAAACTGAAAAAGTAAAAATGTTCATCAAGACAATATTATTTAGTGAAAGGACATCATATATATATAATGATTGATTGATTGTTGGTTGCTAAACGTCCAGTGGCAAATATTTCATGCATATTCAGGACGAGAACAAATTAACAATAAATACAATAGGTAGGTTCTGTAATAGGGGCGTCCGGGGTTAAGGTCCGCGTAATTTAGACTGCCACGGGAAATGAGGGAATATTGGATAGAGACAGCCTTGCAACAGGTCACCTACGGACCCCACAAAGAGTTGTTGTAAGGGTTCTTAACGTGCAAAGAGCGTGGTACTCTCTTTACACGAGGCATCGGATTTAACGTCCCCATTCTGACCGGACGTGGCTGCAAATTTGTACATCCCGCACAGCCAAACGGACGCCCCACTTTAGCAAGGGTTTTACTGCCGGTCGGAGGAAGACCAATGGTGACCATACTTCTATTCCCCAGTCACCCTTGGGGGCTCATATATATTTATTACTTCACGTTAAGTTAAATGATAATGGTAGCTGCTTTTCCTTCTGCCTAAGAAGATCATGCATGGAGTCAGCCTCTTAAATAAAGGAGCAAATCGGCCAGCAGTTGCGGCATATTTGGTTCCTATTGGAATGCCAATTGTTTGTTTGTCCTACAAGCGTAACAATTATGTTGACAATCAAGAAATCAAGCGTCTGGATAATGTCAGTTTCATAGCTTTTGTTGTTCAAATCAGAGTTGTTCTTACAAAGTACGATTTATTTCTCCCTAAAACAATATTATTTTTATCAAACAAAGCACGATCATTTTTTTAAAGTTGTCTTAGTTTGAAATGGGGAATACTTGTGTAAAGGGTACAAAAGTCAAATGATTTGATACTATTAAAAGATTGATTGGTTTTTTGCTTAACGTACAGTGGTAAATAGTGCATATTCAGAAAGAGAACAAATTTACAATTAACACAATAGGTAGTTCCGGTAATGGAGGCCGTCCAGGATGAAGGTCGGGGATATTTGGACTGCCATTGAAAAATAAAGGTGAATTGGATTGGGACAGAAATTTTGCCTTGCAACAGGCCACCTACGGACACATCAACAAGTTGTTACAAGGATCTGTCTCTACACGAGGCATCGGATTTATCGTCCCCATTCGGACCAGACGTGACTGCGTACTTATACAACACGTACAGCCAAACAAACGCCCCACTTTGGTAAGGTTTTAACTACCGGAAGAAGACCTGTAGTGACCATATTACTAATCCCCAGTCATCCTTTGTGGACTATTGAAAGAGGAAAGAGACTTAGGTTGTAGGTATTCAAACATATCTATGGAATTTGTTAGTATCCACATCTGGTCCATGTTATCCAAAGGAACATAGAACAGTCCAATGATAAAGTCCTCTTTAGTTAGTGTAATGGGAGTATATGGTTGAGATTTCAAGTGAGTTATCAATATCTAATTCATATATCATGTTTATATAATGTGATTAACAAAAACAGAAAAATCATGGGTTTTTCAGCTTATTAATTAATTTACGAGTTTTTTAGTATAAATATCATTGAAACCGTAAAGGTGGACTTGGGTATATAAACAGTATCATCCTTGGCTTTCTTCCGTTCCCGAAGTGAGACCTTGCTAAAGGGGTGTCGGTTTGGCTGCGAGGGTTGGATAAATTTGCAGCCGACACCGGTTGAAATGTGGACAATACATCCAACGCCTCGGAACAAGGCTGTGACAAACTTTTAGCACGTTAAAGGTCCGTTTCAACAATTTTCTGACTGGAATATGGCTTTTCTTCCCTATCCTTCATACCTACATGTTTTAATGGTACTCACAAATTCCGACTTTCATTCGGGTCAATATGTCTTAACCTTCCAATTGTATTAATTGTTAATTTGTTCTCGTCCTAAAACAAGCAACAATTAATCAATCATTAACCTCGATAAGCTAGTTTAATAATATAGCTACCATTTACTTGAGATTCATACCAACACGGAACCACTGAAAATAATCTTTTAGAAACAAAGAGTATACTTGAATGAACATATTTCGTTTGTTGATGTGGATCATAAGTGTTTCTCGTTTCTTGTTTTTTATATAGATTAGACCGTTGGTTTTCCTGTTTGAATGGTTTTACACTAGTAATTTTTGGGGCCCTTTATAGCTTACTGTTCGTTGTGAGCCAAGGCTCCGTGTTGAAGACCGTTCTGTGACCTATAATGGTTTACTTTTATAAATTTTGACTTGGATGGAGAGTTGTCTATGAGTTTGAATGTCCCTCTTGTATCTTTCGTCCCTCTATTGTCTCATTGGCACTCATACCACATCTTCTTATATCTATATAGTTATGTATAAGCGCAGGTGCATTTTTTAATCGATCAGTAATTACAAACCTTCTACAGATAACAAAACCATATCCATACTTTCAGTATCGGAGGTCGTAATGAGTTCCAAAATCCTTCTCAGAAATAAAGTCAGGGTGTATTGTAATAGTTCATCCGTTTCCAGCATTTGTGGCAATATATCTACATGTAGAACTATACTCCCTTTAGTGGCAACAATAAATTCTATTCCACTCAAGTCTTTATTGATCTCGTCTTTAAGGGAATTCAGAATATCAATTGTTTTCTCGACATCCTCCTCGTTCTGGAAGATGATCTGTACACGGACTGTACGTCTTCCTTCTAAATATTACAAAAAGTAAAACAAAACTCCAAGGAAAATTAAAAACGGAAAGTCACCTAACAAATGTTAATGTCAAAAACCCAAACACATCAAACGAAAGAAAATCAACTGTCATATTCCTGACGTGGTACATGCATTTCCTTGTGTACTAAACAGTGGAATACACCTTGTTGTATAGCTAGATAAACCTCTCATTTAATAACATACCACAAACCGATGTTCTCTGCCAGTTTTATGTTCGTGTTGAGATAAAATCACAACACTGAATACATGAGGGAAGGTAAAGGTGTTGTCTTACAAGTCTAATGCTACAAAAATATCAATAGCTCTAGAAAACAGATCATTGGCAAAAATGAAAATTCACTTCTTGGACGGTTATTGAAATCTTCAAATCTTCCCCTTCATGCAAGAAAGACATTTTTTATTTTGTTTAAATTCTGAGATCAAATGTGAAATTCATATACCTTTGGATTTATAAAATCATTGGCGTTCTTTCTGCAGACATTGATTTTGTTTTACAGCAACTACTTTCGAAACTAGGCATGTTCAAACAGTTTTGTCAAGAAACTAAGTGCAATGAAGAGTCTTCGAATGATTTTTCAAATTGAAACTTGAATCAGAATTTCTTTCTTCTTTCTAATTATATTGGATATGAAGTGACCTCGTGAGTGACTGAGGAATAGCAAATTGGTAACTTTCGACTTTTCAGGCCGACATTAAGATCTTACCAAAGTGGGGATGTGCCGAATGTACAGGTACACAACCACGTCCGGTTAGAATTTGGACATTAAAGTCAAAGCCTTGTGTAAAAAAAAAGTGCAACGTTCTCTGCAAGTTAAAACATTAGGCAAAGACTCTTTAATGAGTTATTATCTGACCTGTTGCATAGCAAAATGTCTGTATTTTTCCAATATCCCTTATTTGCAACTTGACGTTAAGCAAACGCCAATCAATCAATCATCCTTATCATATTTATTTAATAGCATACGTTTGCAAATTAGTTTTCTTTTGTTTTCTTTTTAGGTGAAGAAGCAAACCAAAAATAATATACATTCAGACAAATTACCTTCTGATTTTTCGTCCTTTAACAACGATCTCAGATTCCTCAAACTTTTATCAAAACTTTCTCCCCAGTAAAACTTTATAGGTTTTTTTTCAAATTGCACTGTAAAATTTAAAGATATAAGACAATTATTAGATAGATACCAAAACTAATATGATGCGCATTATAAAAATAAAAACAAAACGACAAACAGTAAAAACAAATTTGTTCCTTAACCTTTTTTTTTTGTCCATATGGTATATTGTGTATACAGAGCTTAAAATGAGAAGACTTACATATTGAATATAACACAAATGAAACGGACAAAATAAGAACAACATAAAATATAAACGGGATCAACCATAAGAAATATGGAAAAAATAAAATAAACCGGAAGTTAACATCTGAAAATGTTCCTTCCCCGCAAAAGAAACAAAAAAGCATGAACGTGAAAACAATTGCTGCTAAAGAAATACATTCGCATATCGGTTTTAGTAGACACAATAGTGTTTTCTGTACAAAATATGTCAGGTAAACTATAAACCAGAACATTAGGAAACATCGAGGACCTAAGCAAAAAAGGCAAAAATAAATGTCAGGTAAAATTTGCCTAAATGCCTTGCATCATTCGTTTTGTACACTAACGTTGATAATGAACATGTATCTCTTGTAATTTGATTAAAATTATTATTAAACGAAAAGTCTTCTGTCTATGAATGTTGACCTTTATAACTCCGACTTAGAATATAAATAAAAAGTCTTTTTTTTTTATTTACGACCTATGTGACAAGATTTCATATTCTTTATCAATTAATTTACCATTACAATTGTGAACAACTTTCTATTATCCATAAACAATAAATATAAATAACACACAATACAAATGCATTCAACATGACTACAAAAAATAGGTAACAGTACTATTTCAGTGTTATACATCGTTTGGGAAGATATAAATCAAGGAAACAAACAAAAGAGAGATTCGCAGCATGTACTGAGAAAGGATCAAGACCGGATGTCCCGACATGGTAAACATCTTGTGCTATCCATCATGCCCTGATTACGATTTCAGTAGTTCTCGTTCTTTCACCATATTTAAATAAATCTCAAATTATTGAAAATTATTATAAAATATAAATTATTATGTATACGGACGCCATCATGATTGGTTGGCCGGTATTGGGTATCTGTTTCACAGATGAAGACGAATATATTCCCTTTATCGTAACCACAATCCCGTCTTTTTTTTCCAGGAATGCATCCAACCAAATTAGACTTATCAAGGGGTTTTTAACATATCACGACGGGAGCACCATGTGGAGCAGGATCTGTTTACCCTTTCGATGGGTTTTGTGTTGCTCAATTTAAGTTGTTTTTTTGTGTACTGTTATTTATCTTTTCGTCGATTTTCGTTTTTGTTTTGCTATGGCATTTTCCATTGTGTTTTCGACTTATGAGAAAAAGGACCCCACAAAGACATACTAACAAAATTATGACATTAACTACGGTGGCAATCATACCACATCTTATGATTCTTATATATTCTTTCAGAAAATATAAACAATTATTATCTACTGTTACAAAAACGAATATGTTTTAAAAACGCTGAAGGTTTATATCTTACATTTTATATTTTCTAGCTGCTTTAAGGCGTTCTTGTATTTTGTCTGCATTTGCATATCCATACTGCATGTTTTATGCCCTATTATAACTCGTTTATAATTTGTTGTGTGGAAAAAGTTTATATCCATTCTATTGCCAATGTCACGAAAATTGTCGAAGTAATCATCAAATTCATCCTTTCCAATGTTTGTGTTACATCGGTGAGCTAGTTGGTTTCTGTAACGACGTATGCGTTCTACATCATCTACCAGATTTATATCTACTTTGTCTGGATTATTTCCCCATCCTTTTGTAGGAGGATTTATCAGCGAAAACTGTCTTAACAACTTATAAATCAATGTAATGTCCATTGAATCATACGAATTTGACGATTGTGAGTCATTTAGGATAATTTTCTGATCAGACGAGAAACTATTTAGATGCGGCAAGCACATTTGGTACAATTTGTTTGCAGAAATAATGGAGCCGATTATATCTCTGAGGATATTTGGAAAAGTGTCAATGATAATTCGTGAAACTCTTGAATAACGTTCTATGTTTTCACTATCTTCATCAACTGTTTGGATAACTACAAAACAGTTAAAACAGTTATATGAATATCTTACTTCATCATTTTAAGAGTAGCCTTTAAAGATATCTTACAAAAAATTTGGTTTACGGTCAATTTAAGATTTATTGTCCTGAATATCATTAAAAGATGCAGTGGAGAGTAATCTCTTTGAGATGGCAATCATCAAAGCCAAAATGACGCAATCAATGTTTCACCCTATCATTTCCTTCATGTAAGATTTATTAAAAAAAAAATGTAATATTCATCATATCAGCCGTTAAATTATTTAATACGTGACGAATGATACCTTTACCTTTGGAAACTACAAATTCCGATAATAATTAAGTGAAAGAAACCAAAATTTGACCTATCAATAATACCTATCACGATCACTCTCTTAAAAAAAACGCAGTTAATGTCAAATATATAATGTATGTGTCAGACAGTGTTAGAATTGTTAATCGTGTTATATAAAGGTTCTCACTCGGATGAATTTCACGAGTCTTACGGTTACTTTTGTTTGAAAATAAAAGAGAAGAAGAATTTACTTGTTTATTCTTGATTATTTATCTGTCAGAAAACATATTCTAGCATCAAGACTTCTACCAATCTTGCAACTGTCGTCATTTTCTTTTTTTTTTTAAATATCTAAAGTTCATAGTATATAACAACAGAAGTGAAAGCCGTGTAAAAATTTTAAATAAAATCATGAAGAATTGTATCTGGGAAGTCCATTGTATTTTCTATTATTCAAGATATTATCAGACTACAGATATGTTTGAGTAAATACATATTAGTTTGATACTACTTTACCATACCATTTATTTGCTGCATAAGTGCAAGTTCTTGAAGCATATCAGTAATATTAATATCAGATCTCTGAATTGTTTGGTACAACTGTATAGAAGTATCTTGACAGAGATACTTATCCACTCTTTTTAATACATCTAGCGTTTTTTTTTTTAAATTCACCGTAATATTGCTGTGATATTTCCTCCGACTTCTTTCTGATAACGTCATTAGTTGCATTAAGTATTCTCTGAACATCGTCGCCGATTTCGACTTCTGAAACGTGCGGAACATTCCCCCACTTACACGACGGTTCGTGGAATACATTTTCGTACCGCAATATTTTATAGCATAGTTCGATGGTGAAGTCATCTATATTTGGAAGTTTTTCCATTAAGGATATTTCATTCTCTGTAAAATCAATAGTTATGTGTTTCAGTTGATATTTACCTTGCAAACCTCTTGGACTTACACATTCTTTAAAAATATTTTGCATTACTTTTGGAAAAAGCTTTTTAACAATATTGCCTAGTCTTGCTTGTTTTTCTTTTGATGCAGCAGACATATTTATAGTTGCTGTGGTGAAGTTATATGCTACAATAGTAATTTAAAAAAAAAATTATTTAGACAATGCAAACATGGGATAGTTGATACGCGAATAAAGAAATTAACATAATGGCATATATAAACATAAATTGGTAAAAGTATTGAATAATTCCCTAATGCACACGAAGTATTATTTGCCGATCATTGAAGGTTCTTTGAACTACACATTTATTCAGTAATAATTGCTTGAAGTGTAATATTAATGCATCAATCGTTTAGCAAACATATTTGTTTAAAATATTTCAAGGCTTGACACATTTTTGGCTTTTATATTCTTAGCAAACATTGATATGTTTGAAAATACAATCAACATTTTATCTTGATGTTTTCGGACTGGTTGAACAAAATAATCATCATGTTCTCATACACCCGTCACCGTAGTTTGCATGTTAAGTTTTCATATCTTCGGAACAACAAATACAGATGTTAAAAAAATGAAATGGATGCATTACCTATGAGATTCGTGAAATAGGATCTTTTCAAAAAGTAAAATCTCAAAAATACTGAACTCCGAGGAAAATTAAAACGGAAAGTCCCTAATCAATTGGCAAAATCTCAAAAACTCAAACACATCAAACGAATGGACAACGACTGTCATATTCCTGACTTGGTACAGGCATTTTCTTATGTAGAAAATGGTGGATTAAACCTGTTTTTATAGCTAGCTAAACATTTCACTTGTATGACAGTCGCATAAAATTCCATTATATTGACAACGATGTGTGAACAAACATACAGACATAATAGGTAAAAATGTCAAAATTAGGGGTACAGCAGTCAACATTGTGTTATTATCTTAATCACTAAAAAAACAAACAAATATGTAAACAAACTATGTCACAATAACACAATGACGGGATGTATAAGTACAGAGCCACGTCATATGTAACAAAGAAACACTAATGGTATATAGACAAAGCATATTAGCAAAAATGAAAGACAAGAATACAAAAATTATCATAGAACAGTAATACAATGACGGGATGTATAAGTACAGAGTCACGTCAAATGGATACCACTTAAAACAGACTAAACAGTAAAAGTAATATTCATAAAGACAAATAATCTAAGAATACTAAAACACGTTATTAAGATGATAAACAACGTCAGTACCCAGATTCTATACTTCAAGACCATCGTGTATTATTTGTGAAGTTGATACGGAATATTTATCAACAAGGTCTTGGTACCTTCCGATGAACTTTTTTCGAAAAAGGACGAGACGTTCTTTGACATACCCCTGGTTCATCAACTTTCTGCTCAGACACTGGTGGCGTTTTACAAAGTCTGAGTAGTTGCTGCATGTCCTCGAATATCGAATAAGTTAGGAAATGTATATCCCATATGCAGGTAAAGTTGGTATATTGCTACTAAGGTGGGGGAAATTGATAATTTCAAAATTAAAATCGTCTCGTTTGTCATAGATTCTGGTACTGAGATGACCGTGTATGTCAAATTCGAGGTATAAGTCTAGAAATAAGGCGGAGGAAGCCGTGTCTGTTGTTTCTTTAATTTCTAGTTCTTGGGGATATATTAATGGAAGCCAATCAGAAAAGTTTGGATTGTTAATGGATTGATTGATCGATTGTTGGTTGCTTAACGTCCAGGGGCAAATATTTCATGCATGTTCAGGAAAAGAACAAGTTAACAATAAATACAATAGGTAGGTCTTGTAATAGAGGCCATCCGGAATGATGGTCGGGGAAATTTAGACTGCCACTGGAAAATTGGGGTATATTGGATAGGGACAGAAATTTTGCCTTGCAACAGGCCACCTATGGACCCCTCAAAGAGTTGTTGCAAGGGTTCTTAACGTGCAAAGAGCGTGGCACTCTCTTTACACGAGGCATCAGATTTAACGTCCCCATTCTGACCGGACGTGGCTGCAAACTTGATACATCCCGCACAGCCAAACGGACGCCCCGATTTGGCAAGCGTTTTACTGCCGGTTGGAAGAAGACCACGTGACCATATTTCTATTCCCCAGTCACCCTTGGGGGGATTGTTAATTGAAAGAACATCATCAATATATCTGAATGTAAAATTAAATGACCTGGCTTCTTTGATATTTTTGTTTTTGACAAGTGTCTGAAGAAACTCCGATTCATGTGAAAATAAGTAGAGGTCGGCTAGTAAAGGCGCACAGTTCGTTCCCATAGGAATGCCGACAATTTGTTGAAAAAGTCTACCCCCAAATGCAACAAATATGTTGTCAATAAGAAACTCCAGCATACTGATCACTTGTTTCTCTGTGTAACATGTTTTACCTTTTTGTTCACTATTAACAAAATATGCCGTAAGGTATCCCAAAGTAATAAATGTATAGCGTATGCTACCATTTTTATGTTGAAAAGCATTGTGGATTATTTCTTTTAAACGATTTTTCAATTTCACATGGGGAATGGTGGTATACAGGGTTGAAAGATGAAAAGTTTTGATAGAACTAATTTCAGAAAAAGATCGAGATTTAAAATTATCCAGAGTTTTATAGAATCCACATGTGGTTTATATCACTACGCATGTTAACAGTTTCACAGTATTTCTGAAGACCCTCTTTCACTGCGGACAGATTTTTTGTCAATCGAATGGACAATTCTTTAGTCGAACATGCAGATGATGAATTAAAAAAGACAGTGCATTAAAAGGACAAGCTTTAATTATTCCATGACAAACCATCCCCGATTTTTAGAGTTTTGTTTGTAGTGTGTTTTAAGAGTTAGATTGTCTTTCTGTCATGCTTTATCAATTTTTCTTCGGCTTAGGAGTTTGGAATGCTCCTATGATATCTTTAGCCTCTTTTTTTAGAAATCATTTTGAAACTATAGTTTTAAATTCAGGTTTTGCGGTTGACGCAGCCGAGGGTGTCAGATTTTCTTAACGAACTATACTCGTTCCGTTAGTTGATAACGTTTAGTTTTGTCAGTTTTAAAAATACCTTGTATTATGGTAATTTTGTTATATCCCCCCCTTATTGGGTCCAACTAGCACACTTATCTTATGAACCTGCTGGTTCAAATCTCAAACTAGTTTGATCGTTTGTCTATTATTAATATCACGAGATGTGTAGTTGAACATACAAGCGGCTTGCACAGCCATTTTGATTTCTGTACACATAAGCTTGTGGCATTTTGTGGAAGGAGTGCGGTTTTCACATCTTGAGTCAGTACCGCTCTGACGAGAATGATTCTAGTTCAAATGATCCGTGTGTAGGTGAAGCCTATGTTTTGGTTTTAGCAGTATCATGGAATTGAAAGATTTTGTTTTAGGAAAACAAATGTATGTATTCAAGCAATTTCTGATAGTCATATAAACACCTAAGATCCCAGGTCGATTACTTAGGGGCCTCTTTATTTTTAACAGCCTCATTACACAAGTGACAAAAATCAGCTCAGTATGAACTCCCATAGTTTTACATGTTTAAATAACCAGAATACTTGCTATGACATAAAACATAAAACATCATAATACATGTACATTATACATCATGATCGTAAATACGGTTCATTGACTCCAATGTGTTGTATAATCATTGAAAATTATTTATATGGTTGACACAAATAAAATTTATATTCTGGAATTGAACATTGTTGATGTTGCCACAAAAGTATATGTATTCGT